TTTGTTTTGCAAAGTGATGTTTCTGAAAATGTTTGAGAAATCTGAAAAGTAGCAGAGTACTTATCTCACAGTGTGAACTAAAGCTTTCAGCCTTCCAACCCCGCTCTGTGTTTTTCTGACTTCAGTTCCCTCTCCCTCTTTCATTAAGGATTTTTTTTTTTTTTATTTTGAAAAATGAGAATCCTTAAATGCGTATCTGGAAAAATTCAGTGTAGGTATTGAAAAATGCTATTCCTGTTATATGGAAGGGAGAGTATTACTGGAACAGCACATCTGGTTCTGGTTTCCTTTCTTCAGAAAGGAGGTTACAAATTAGGAAGGGTTCAGGAAAGTGCTATGGTAATTATTTCAAGGTCTCGAATGCTGAAATATCCTATCTCTCTGTGATCTCTGAGGGAAAGTGGTCCTGTTCAGGTTACCAGTGAGTGCTTCAAATGGAAGAATATTTCTGACTATTAAAGGGCATTGTGCAGAAAGCATAGCACTTTCTACATAGCATAGGGATTTATAATGAAATAATTTGATACCTATAAAGTGACAGGTTTATTAAATGCTGACAGAAACTCAGGAGCAACAACAATCTTTCTACCACTTAGTCTTATAAAAAAGAAAGCTAAGATATGTACTTTTGTTCCAACTGTCAGGCTATGGCTTAAAATATTTTTTTTCTGAAATTCTAATGTTAAGTTGAATGTCCAGTAGTATGTCACTTGTTATTAAAAGTGAAATAAACATTTGATGCAATCAAATTATACAAAGAGAGGAAGAAGAATAAAGTACAAGCTAAAATTGCACAAAATTAAATAGAGCTGTGCTAGTTAGACATCAAGTTGAAATAAATAAACACTTAAAAAATCAAAGCAAAAGTAAAAATCACTTTAATTATTAGGGAAAAGAGAAAAATTTGGAAGATGGGAGTTAGTTATCAGATTTCTAGACTACTCATAAATTATTTGCTCTAAAGTTCAGGCATATGTAGGATCTTCCCTGCTGTAGAAAGGGAAACATTCTACGGATATACTTGATCAATTGCCTAAATAATACAAGATCTATCACTGCCAATATCTAAAATTACAATATTCTGGTGTACAAATTCCTGAGACAGAGCCTCGCATAGTTCTGTGTGACAGTTCATGGATACTACAGGGTGTAAATCCTTTGTATGAGGGGCATCCTGTTTACTTAGGGTTTTTTTTCAGGCTGCTATTTTGTTTGCAGTTTTCTGACTCAAAAAGGCTTTACATTTCTGATCATACTATTGATAGAAACCTGATAGCAATACCCTTGGGCTAGAATTATTTTAAAGAAAAGAAAATACGTGGGAAGAAATCACTGATAGGAATTGATATGCAAAAAATGCACTAGCATGTCAGTACCAGCTTATAAATACTTTATATTATGCATTGTAATGAAAGCCTAAGTATGTCTTACAGTATATTATAAGCATATACATTGTTAAAATTTCCTAAAGCAAGCATGTACCTAGAATGCTTTTAGTCATGCCATATGGTTTAGTTTCTTTCCTAGTTTATAAAGATAGACATAAAGAAACTAGGTAGAAAAAAAAACCAGTCCGAAATGCACTTTCAATGAAAAAATGTTCCACCTTGCTATCTAATTTAGATTCAGAATCAAAAGCTATTATCAGAATTCTGCTGCCTTTTACTACACGATTTGACAGTGCTTGCTGTCTGCTCTTAAACTTGTAAAAAATACCTGAAAAGAGCCTCCAAAAAAGAGTCTCCTCCATGAATGGTTGAAAAAGGTTTCTGTACATAGCTGTCAAGAATTGTTAGCAATTTAACACTTTGTTGGTAGTTGTTCCAACAGTTAATTTATTCAGACTGTTGTGGTTTGTTGGCTTTTGTTAAAAAGCCCTACTTTTTTTTTTTTCTTATTATATATTATATAAGCCCTACTTGTTTTTTTTTCTCTTCTTTAAAAAAAAAAAAAAAAACAAACCAAAGAACAAAAACTTCTTTCTTTAGAGAATTCTATATTGTAAAAGAAAGGAATGTGTATTATCATGTACTACAGAAATCTGTAGCTAGCTCTTGTAATATCTTTTTTGGATCAAGCCTTTATTACTAATTTTGCATTAACTTACTATTTTGCAGTAAGTGGTATAAAAACTTGGGTTTTATTTTCTTAATATGTATTATGCATTCAGTGCACTCTTTTTATTAGTTCTCTGCTCTCTTCTCTTTAGGAAATATTGCTTAGTTTTCCTTCTTTATCCTCCATAACTTATTTCTGAAGATCATGTCTCAGCCACTTCCTTCTCCCAGTCATAAAGAACCATCTTTGAAATTTTTGATGTTTGTAAATTGGGGCATATGTTTTAGAGAGATCTTAGCTCTATGTTTGCTGTGATTTTAGATAAGGGTACTTTAAATTATTACACTACTATGTTTTTTTCACTGCAATAATTTATATTTTGTCAAACACTCTTCAGTAGGGGCTATGCATTGGATGACCTTAGTAAAGCTAAGGTGCTTGCTTTGTTTCTTAAGTAGTATTAAGCAAAATTTTACTTGTTTGCATTCCAATTGCCAATTGGCATAGTGACTGTTTAACCTGCTTGCTTTCAAAGTGCTTATGAGTATTCCTTACAAGTACTAAGAGGTGATGCATATTAAACAACAAACCCCAAAGAAATTATCTGTTGCTCTTTATTGTGGTGCCACATGGGTCTTTAGTGGTTTATGAATGTCTTTTAAATTACTGAAGCAATGGCAAACAATAATATGAATATGGAATGGGATGGGTAGGAAGACTCTTCTTGGTTTTAAGATATTTTTTTTATAGGAGGCATTTCAGTTTGAAAGTGTGCATTTCAAACATGGGTCCAATTTGGTGAAAGATTACCCTATTTATTAGTAATTACGATCTCCATTTAGTGTAAGAAAGTAAAACTCATGAAGAAATAATCTGGGGCTTCCAGTACATTGTATTGTCTGTCTTTAAAAATATGTTGAAAACATCTACTTTATATTGAAATGCAAGTATTTAAATGTGTACTTTAAATTTTAAGTAAATATTTTGTTTCAACATCCTAATATTATTATTTTAGAAAGATGAAATTAGGGACTGTATTAATAAACTGAAGAATAGAAAGAACAGTTTAATTCCTTGCAAAACTGACAAACTGAAGTCACTTTTGTGGAAAATAGCCCATGGGGATAATAACTTAGTGGCAACATTAAAAAAGTTAAAAAAAAAAAAAAATTACCAGGCTGTTAATCTTGTCTTTAAAAGAAAATTAACTAATTTATTTTAGAGTGGGTTAAACCTGAGGTGCAATTTATAACTTTTGATAGCTTAGTAGCGTTGACAGATTAATAATTTCATTTATATGATTTGTCTCTTGCACTTGAGCTATTTTTGTGAAGAAAACTGAAGTAGTGATGACCTAAGGCAACAAGAAGGCTTCTATTTGGTGTTCATTTTCATAGAGGTGAGAACTGATACATGAGGAACACCTCTGTGAAACAGAATGAAGAAAATTGCAGGTGAAACCTTTCACTTGCATGTGAAAACTTGCACTTTCAAAAATCAGTAGTCATCATTGAAGATACTAGAATAGTTTGTGTCCAAGTGTCCTAAATATCATCAGAAAATAAGTTACATTAAAGAAGCTACATTAAATAAGCTACAGCAAGAATTTGTCAGGTTCTTTCCCCTCAGGGAGAAGCAATTTGTTTGGAGTTAAATGTGTAAGGTTCTTTTGTGTTGTTACATTGTCTCTCACCTTCCTCATTATCTTTTCAAACTTCACGGGCTGGTTTCTAAGCTTTGAAAACAGTGACAAGAAACAGTCTTTGTTACTTATAAATGTACAGTCAATGGAGTTCCTCATGTTTCTTGTGACTTTCCTTCTTCTTTAGAATGTGTCCCATCAGGACTAGTGAAGTGCTGAAAATACTGTGGAAGAGTCTGCTTCCTTCTGTAAGCAAGAGCAGAGGAGGAAGTCAGACGCAGACTTGTTAGGCCTGGCTGTGTCTAAAGATGGACAGAAAGAATTTGTATTACTTCTTCCTAACTCTAGAGATTACTGTGGGAAGTTTTTCCTATGTGCTGTGAATTGGCCAAATGGGACTTCCGATAATTCTGTTACAACTTGGACTTTCAGAAGCTCACACTTTCAATGCAAACTTGCGCATAGAATAATTCTAATGAGTAGCCTCATGAGTATTACTAAACAGAATTACAGCCATTGTTGGGGCTATTATTAGCCAAATACACTGTATTGTCTCTGATACGTTTCATGGTAATTGCTGACAAAATTACACTAACTACTGTATGAAAACTGGAGCAAGTCCAGAGGAAGGCCATGAGGACAAGGGGGCTGGAGCACTTCCCCTATGAAGACAGACTGAGAAAATTGAGGCTGCTCAGCCTGGAGAAGAGGTTACATGGAGAACTCATAGCAGTCTTGCAATATCTGTAAGGGGGCCTACAGGGATCTTGAAGAGAGACTCTTCCTCAGGGAATGTAGTGATAGGACAAGGGGTAACTTAAAAAGGGGAGACTTAGGTTAGGATAAGGAAGAAATTATTTACTGTGAGAGTGGAGATGTGCTGGAACAAGCTGCCCAAGGAAGCTGTGAATGCTCCACCTCTGGCAGTGTCTCTGCCCAGGACGCACGGGGTTGGAACTAGATGATCTTAAGGTCATTTCCAACCTAAACCATCAGAACTTTCTACAGAAGCATGTATGCTTTTTGTTTTTTACAAAAATTCACATGCAGTAGTCTTTTAAAAGCACTTCTGTCTGTGCTGTACTAAAACCAATAGAAAAGATTTTTTAGATGCTTATATATACCTTTTTTTAAAGAAAAATAAACAATTTGCTTATATGCTAACAGTTCTAAAATTCTATTGTTTGCTTTAAATTGTTGCATGTACTGCTGAGGAGCAGTACTTTCTCTAGATGCTGCTTGTGAATTCTGTCTTTCTGAAAAGCTTTACAACATTCCGATTTTGTGGTTTTGTTTTTAGATAGGAGTGATGCAGTCGACCTTCCTATAAAATTCAGTCCTCGGTATGCTGGTTGCTACCACTGTCAGATTCTTCTGAAGTCCTCCTCTGATGTTCGTGTTTATGAGATTGAATGTGTAGTGAATACAGACAATGCTGAAGCAGAGCTCGAATTTGTAACTCCAGCTTACCAAGCAGTGAATCAGGATATTCCAATTGTAAGTTCACTTTACTACTGGAAACTAAACTAAGATTCAAGATTTTAAAAAACTAGCCTCTGGATCAGTAATGTTAAGATTTACAGTTGTAAAATGCACAAATGCATGTAAATGCTGACTGGAGTATTATTACTTAATGTTCATATTGGGCATTATATAAAGCTTGATGGTAAAAATAGTTTATGGCAATTGTTAAAGTTTTATGTTATTTTTATGGGCTTATTTCTAATGTTTCACTTCTGTCCTGAGAATTGTTAATCTGCTAATAATGTTATCACATTGAAAGTGAAAAATTAGTTTAATCTAGGGAATAAATGTCTTCTTTATGGAAAAAAAAAAAAAAGAGAGTTTGAGAACCAAAATAGAAGAACTGGATTGCATGCAATTTTTAAAATATGACAAGTATAAGCTATATATCATATATAGCTTTATCATATCTATTTTTTATATGAAACCCTTGACAAATGAAAAGTAAGACCATGTAGTGAAGATACAGTGTAGTCTGGAATATCATCCCCCTTTAGAAAATGATGCTCAAATTTCAGAGAACTTCTCCAACTTAAACAAAAAAAAGGAAGAAAAAAAACCCCCAAACAACCTTAATCTATGAAAGGGTAGAGAATCTTCCACAGTTAAAAATGATGTAATATTTCCTGAGATTTGAACTATGGTTCCTCTCTCCCACCTTTTAAAACAGTAGATTAGCAAAGGCTGATGACCTGTCAGTTTTTAAATGGGTCAGGCTGGTTTTCAAATTGGTAAGGTTGTTCCTGATATTGTGAAGAAGAAAAAGAGAAAAAAAAAACCCCACAAACATAATCTTTTGTTGCCTTTCTTTATCTTTCTTTTTTTTTTTCTTCAGGATGAGGATAGCAGCTAATTACTTTTTCCCCTACAAGAAATGATGTCATTGTTATTACAGAATTGAAGACCACAGTGATGGAATTGTTTTGAAAAACTGGGGCACATTCCAAACAGGCATTTGTGGTCAAATTCTAGGAAGTTTACCTCTTATCAACTAAGAATTAAGCATTAATCTTAGATATACAATACTGCAGGTGTCATGCACTGCTATGAAGTGCCACGAGGTAGCTCTGATGACCTCAGGTGGTGTTTTTTAGTTTCTGAGATTAAGATAGCTGAGCTTGGAAGACTTTCAGAGAAGGTAAAGAGCAATGAGTACTGTGCTCTGATTTGGTGATAACTGCAAGTAAAAGCTGAAATGCATGGTAAGAGCTTTAAATGCGTAATATAATATACTTCTTCACTTGATTTCAGAGTAACTTGTCCAGTCAGGACTGGAAACTTGAAGCAGTTTTGGAAGGACAAGGATTTTATGGACCTCCTCTAATACATGTGGGTCTGCATGAAACAGCTTTGTATCCTCTCACGTTCAAGCCTATTGTTGAGTGTGTTATAATGGTAAGAAGGAAATTAGTTTCAATTTTTTGAAAGGATGCTTCTGTCAATGAAATTTACATCAGTGTCCAATTTATGAAAATGCTTAGGCAGTTGCTACTATTAAGCATCTATTTGAGAATCAGAAATTGACAGATTGCTACTAGCTGAAGTAAAAAAAATAAAGAGCTAACTTTGCAAAGCTTAAGATTAGGAATGATGGATTTCCCCGCCACCCTTTATAATTTCTTCCTTTATCTGTTTTTCTATCAAACCCTCCATTTTAATGAAAGAATTTACTCTGTACTTTGATCATAAAAATATACATTGTGTTAATCTGAATGTAAATGCATATGTTAAATTATATTTACTTACCTAAGTAATAAAGTAATAATCTTGAATATTTCTCATTGCATGTATACATCACAAGTGAATTTATGTGATGGCTATTTTGTTTCATAAAATATTTTCTGTTATGTTAAGCCACTGCTTAGCAGCTGCTTTTACCATCAGAATAATCACTAGTCTAAATACTAAAATGAACGGAGCAAAACCTAGGACAGCTTTAGCAAGGAGCAGTGTACAATTTTTTTGCCTGAATATTAGCATGCATTTCCAACCAAATATAATGTGCTTTAGGAAACCAGTGTTATAAAACTATTAAAAGCACAAAGCCTTGAATCCTCTGATGACAAATAATCATGAAGAACATTTCATTTCAAGGACAGATGGAAATGGTTGAGCAAAGTTCTATTTTATATGAGGGATAAGTACGCATGAGAACATATTTTCTTGGATAATTGTCTTCAAGGAAGAAGCCAAGAAGTATAAAATATGGAAATATGAAGGCTTTGTATTGTTAATTTTCATAATTAAAAAAACCCTGCCACATTTGTTTATTTAGTTTTCTTCTCTGTTCAACAGCAGAGTTTGCTTAAGAACTACAAAAGTCAATAGGAACACTTTCTTGTAAGCATGCTTTGTTATCTGGATTTAAGATTAACAAACTAATGGAGTTGATTTGCCAGCCAAAGCAGAATTTTATAATACTGATTTTTTTTCTTCTTTTTTTTATCATAGGGAAGGCTTATTTTGCGAAATAGCAGAGCTGGCACTGAAACCATCTTTAACCTTAAGGGAATAGGGAAGAAACCTCTGTCACAGGGTTGTGTTGTGATGGATTGCCAAGTGAGAAATGTCATTCAAAAAATCTTATGGGTACCCAATTATACCAAGCACAAGTTAATATACAAGGTAAATTTTTGCTATTTTTTCTATCCAAGAACCAGTGAATTATGTATTACAGTAGCAAATATTATTGGAAATGCAGATATACTATTAAAATTCATGTATCTGTGAGATATATAAAACAATTGCTTACAGTACATGTATATGTTTACAGTCAGGATATCTGTGAAATAGTGTATGATTTTACTGTATGTTCCATGGAAAAAGCTTTCTTGGATTTTTAGGACGGTTCCTAAGGAGACAAAGCTTTGCTCATTCTCTAGTCTTTCCTCCCTTCCTCCTCCACTGGTTTGAAACAGTGGCCAAATCCATCAGTTTTGAAATCAGAAGTGGCTTGAGAATTACAGAGTTTCTGAAATCTTCATAAAACATTAGTATATTACAGGAAAAGAGCAAAAAAAAATAAATATCCTACTAAGGGAAAGATTGCAGAATGAGCTTACTGATTCTAATGGTCTTACGGTCTGGACAGTCAGTCATTGCAGTAATTACTGTTAGTGTCTTTTGCCCAGTTGTTGTTTCACAGATGTTGGAGGAAGTTGGGAATACTGTGTTTGTTTCCTGATGGGAAAGAAATTTCAGAGGAAATAACAAACTGGAGTTGTTGAAAGGCAATGGATCAGGTGCTGAGGTATTTGTGACTTCAGTGAATGTAAGATAAATTCTTAGAAAATACAACTTTCTTGGTTTCTCTGCTCAGGAAGATTTTTTCCTATTAAATGTAATCTTTATTTTTCATTGGTTTGTAACTGTATTTACACAAACACATTCTCTTATTAGAAATACTGTTGGATTATTGTAACTGCAGGATTTTTCTACCATTTATCTTGCCTCAATGTTTAATTTGAAAGTGGTAAAAATATTTCAGTAGTATTCTTCACCTTCCTTATCTATGTGTAGGATCTTATGTCATATGTCAACAGATGAAGAATGTACATTGGGGCAAATAAGATGACTTCTGCTTTTTTTTCAGCTGCAGAGAAGGTTCCTGAGTAAGAACATCTTGGACCTTACTCAACAAAAGCTATATTTGTGACTCTATTATGGCACTTAAATATAGAGTAGATAGCTTCTAGATACTATGACTGCAATACCATTTGCTAGGAGGTAAAACCTGACTAGCTAACTAGTGTGCTCATGAAATGAGTGACCTTTTGTTTCTGCCTTGGAGCCAGTAGCGCGAAATGCTGCTTTACTGAAAAAAGGCAGATACTGATGGAGAGTAGCCTCACCTTATTTTATAAAGAGAGATCAGTGTGTACCAATAGCACTCTTCTGTTGGTTAATGAGAACTCATGGCAGTGTGAAATCCTTCCTTAAGCTCTTGCTAGTCTCTAATTTTTCATTATTACAGGAGGATTTACATTTGATAAACTTTGTCTGTTATAAAAAGGTTCAGCTTCATGTTCCTAGTTTTTGACTCGTTATCAAGCCTGCCAAAGAAAGTAGGAAATGTATTCCAAAGTAGGAGATTGGGCATCACCAGTTTTGACATTTTTGTTTTCAACATTCTTAGCTTTTTACATGTGAATGCATTTGTTTCTAATGTTTATAGCTTTAGCTCTGAAAGAAGTGAATGTTTTTGAAAGTTGTCGAGAGCTATCCCCTCTGCTTTCCCACTGAGTGCAAACTCAGTATTATTTGTACCAATTAAAGTGAAAGACATTGAAATAGCAAAATTAAAAAAGAATACATTATTATTTGTATATTTTTTCAGAAACATTGTTAACTTACATCAGTTTTAACTATTCCAGAATGAGCTGGGTGTAGCTGAACTTTGATCTCATTGAGGGTGTTCTCTGAATACAAAAACCTGGGGTTTGGGTGTTTTTAATTTATTCTGCTTCGTGTTTTGGTGGTTTGTTTTGCCTTTAATTTTATGTTTTCCTCTGTAAAGTACTGCTTGCCAGTCTATCTGTGTGTGTTCTTTTTGCTCTGGGATTTTTGTGAGAGAAGTAGTAGGGCCAGCTGTTTCATGCTTGTGCACATATAATAATAATCATTGTGAATAATGTATTTTCTCTATGCTAGGATTTTACCTGGAAGCTGTTGTAGAGCAGTTATTGAAGCAAGGTTGGCTGGAATTGTTTAAAAAAAGCATTACTAAAAAACCTACCAGTGTCTGAAAACTGTGTCCTCAACGATATTAATTCCTTCTAGCACTCTCTGTCCAATGTCCTGTAGTCTTGTGCTATTGTAGTAAGTGAAGACCATTTGCTCACTTTTAGTTCCCAAATGATTAGTTATTAAATGAAGTTTTAATAAATACAGTATATGATATCTGGTGTCTGGATATTTGGAGAAAGGGGAAAACCTCTTCTAAGAGGGAACTGTAACCAACAACCTTGTTAGAAATGCAAAATAGACTTTATTTACTCAGAAGTGTATAGTAGAAAGGGCAACAGGAAAAATAATTGATACTAATTTTGTTCATTCCATGCTGCCTGTTGCATGGTGATTTTGTCTTTGTCGGTGTTTCTCTTGGGGGCCATGGCTTACAGACCAACTCCTTCTCCTTTATAATCCAGCATCTTTGAAATTTTACGATATTGTCTTTTAGCTAAACTGATGGTTAGGTAGAGGAAATCTTGTTAGCTTTGGTGGAAACAGAACAAAGATAATAAAAAAAGTAATAGCTTGAGAAATGGTTTTGGTGGGAATTTTTGTAACTTTGTTGGCTAATGAATGTCTTCACCGTTGAATTGGTTGGTTGATTTGTGCTGTACATTCTCCATTGATGGAGTGTATTTGTTATGCAAGTTAACTTCTCATAGGCACACTGGAACATACATGATATTTTCTGGAAAAAAAAGGAGCGTGTAATTTACTGAAGTAATAAGGCTCAGCTTATATCTAGAATGATATAAGATGTGTCAGTAGCTGATGAGCATAATAATTTACAGGCTTGTCCATAAACAATTTACTGCACAATGACTACCTAGCAATAAGTAATTTAGCTGCATTAATACTTGGGTAATTTTGCCTTTGAGGTGTAAATTTGGCTTCACTGTTCAATTTAATAACTGAATATATTAAACTATAAAATGAATAAAACCTAATTTCATTAAAAAAATAATTGCATTGTATATATGCTACTCTGCTTCTCAGTATTCACTGTATTTGTCTAATAGCCTCAACCAAAATAAGAGTACTACTGAAAAACTGACTGTTTATAATGGAAGTTAAGTCTGGGAGGAGAAAGAGGGAAATCTTTCCTTTCTTCCATTAAGAAAACCCTCTTCCCTCTGAAAAGCTCTCTTTTCCCATTTCAAACATATACGGAGTGTTCTTGTCTGGAGAATCAATTTTTGTATGTGTGGTTGTATGTGCAACCATTAATATCTATCAAAAAGACTTGGGGAGAAAAGTGCCTTTGGAATTCAGTGGAGGTCATGCATATGACTCCATCAGTCTACCTTTAAAAATGCCAAGCAAAACACTTTCCATGCCCACAAAGCTTTCTATGATTAAAAAAACAATTTCCATAAATTCCCTTGAAAAATGTGAATGTTTTTATGAACTATTTTCTACTGATTGATGTGTAAACCTCAGGGAAATACTGCCACTGTGCTCTTCATGGCTGTTCTAGGGGATATTACAACAAATGGTCTTTCTTGTGATTAACTTACTCCTGGGTCTGAGAAAACATCACAACAGAATTCATAACGAATTGTGCACATATAACACAGGCAGAGAACACATCCTTCTCTAGTGCTGAATTTATATAAGCTTAGTGACTACAACATAAGTGGATTTTAGTGGCTGTAAAATTAGATTCAAATCATCCTACAAGAGTAGGACACGTAAAGTATTTCTATGAAAATCCAGTCTGTCAGTCTCATAACAAAATTTTTTATAGTATTTTCTTTTGGGATTTTATATAAAACTTTGTCAGATGGATAAATAATTGTCTTGTGTGCTGATGGTTGCTACTAATGACACCTTTGATAGTAACTTTAGCTATAAATGTGCCTAATTCTTGCAAGGCTTGGTTTTGCAGTAAAAATATAAAATATAAGTGTTTTTCTCAGTGCTGTTCAAAATAGACATCATTAAAGTAAACTCTCCAGAGAAATCTCAAGGCTCAATTAAATTACCTTTTGGGTATTAGGTTGTACAAGCTATTTGTAATTTCCAAAAGTATTGTAGAATAAGTATATAATCAAGAAATATAAAATCGCTTGTTCCTCAATGCATTTCTGTATCAGTGCTCTCTCAGTTCTCTATGTAACCATTTTATATTTTTACAATGTCAATGAAAGAATGACATGAAGGTTGAGTATTTGTGAGGTTTCCTGGGAATAAATTCCATGCAACTCAATAACCTGATTGCTGAAGGTCATATAACCTTATCAAGATTGCATTCTTTAACAACAGGTAAATCTGTGTATTCCATAATCTTCCTATCTGTCCTCACAGTTTCAGTCTTTTTTGTTTCCACATTGTCTGCCAGATAGGTTAGTGGTCTTGTCAGGTGGACTGACTGGTTTATGACTCTGGATTGTGTAGCACTCTTCATTACGTAGAAATGCAGGTTGCGAGTAACAGGTAGGAAATATCGGGGGGGGGGGGGGGTCATATTCAGTGCAATGCAAAGATGTTTTATTTCAGTGGAGTGACATTGCAGGAATTAAATTAATTCCTAATAACTCAGGAACTTGCAAAGTATGTACTGAAAGAAGGATGAGGGAAAGTAATGGGAGTTTCACTAGAAACATATGTCATTGTTGACAGCACTGAAAATATCTGAGTGTGGGATCGTTCAGTGACTCTTACAGACCCTGTTCTGGCCTAGTGCCAAGGAACATTTACGCTGTAGTAAGCAGAGTCTGTCAATATTTTTAAACAGACTTGAGAAACAATTTTCAAATGGTAATACTGAACATATTACTAACTTTGTATGCAAAGAGACAGTGTATATATTTAATTAAGTTCTGTACATCTGTTCACTACTTTAGCGTGAAGTATCAGTTGCCATTCTTGAAGTTATGCTTATTTAGTTATTCAACTCTGAGGGAAAAAAAATTACTATAATTTTTTAGTAATCCCTTTTCCATTCCTTTTCATATTAAATAGCCATATCACTAGTCTGAAGAATGAGTTTTCAATCCTCTGACTGATAAATTATTTTAAAACTGTGACATTTCATAAAACTGCTCCATTTATACTTTTTGGCTGTGTGTGTATAATGACTTGAAGTATAAGACAATGGAGAATACCACAATTTAAAAATTAAATCATTGGAGATGGATTAAATTGAGAAAATTTTCTGTAGGGTCAAATTTATAAATTTAATATTAATTTACATTTGGTTTCGTTGTGTTATTCTACAGTTCTTATTTTCTGAGTGATAGTGCAAGGATGTAACAACCTTCGTACAATTCCATCCTAAAAAGGAGCTTAATTTTTTGGTATTGGATGGGTATAGAACACAAGATATCCTTTGTCCTGTGCCATGGTTGTCATGTGAGCATCTGTCCCCAGAACACTGCCAGAACATATGCATCAGTAGCATATGAGTTCTTACCCTCTTCTAGTGTAGAACCATTGCTAAATGCTACAGTTTCACTATTTTTCTCTAGCCTGCTCATATCTATCGGGATACCTTTGAGACAAGGTTTTTGTCTTTCAGGTTTGCTTTGATCATTCCTAAATTACAAACAGTTCAAGTTTTATGACTGCTGTAGGAAAGGTGATAGCAGACTGAGGCAGCAGCAGTTACGTATAATTTTTAACATGGATTTATAGTGGCCAGAAAAATAATGAAATTACTATTTCTTTGACACACTTTAGAACCCTACTCTAATATTAATAACCTTCTTGTCTCACAAAAGCAATGGGATTTCTGATACCCAGCAGTTCTTACTGTGATCCTAAGCCTATTTCTATTTTCACTTCAGAAACACACTTTAGTCTGTCCATTAGTTTTTATTTATACTGGAGTCTAACAGCAGAACACAATAGAGTGAAAATCTGTTTGTTAAAGTTGTTTCCTTTTAAGCTTAAGTATATGTCACTAGAGCTAGAAAACAGAAAAAATTGCTATTTTCACTATTTTGACCTTATTTCTTAAATATGTGTATTTATTAAGATCTGTTTCACAAAACCCAATTAAATATATTTCAGTTAAACTAGAGAAGGGTGAGGACATAGTGTCAGTGATGGCACAAGTCTTTGTTGTGTATTAGAAGCTGGAGTTTCAGGATTTTCAGTCAGGGAAAGTCAATAGGAAGAATGATACAGAAGCAATGCATGTGCAGTCATGGGGGTTTGTTCATATTTGGGTTTGTAAATTTTGCAAAATCATGAACAGGACTATGGGTTTCTCTTGGCACAAATGTTTAGATAGTAACATAGATTAGTTGATTCAGCATTGAGTTATATTAATGTTTAAATTAAAACAAAAATAGGCATTCAGATTTAAGGTTTTCAGCTGAAACTTGAGCTCATAAGGGAAGCCTTCAGTACTCAGTTGTGTTTCATATCCAGGTTTCATAATCTGTTTTTTTCTTAGAACTAATTGCTTTACAGCATAAATAGTATCTGTGAAAATGTGTATAATAAAGATATTAAATACAGTACTGCTGATAGATGTTTTATTTCTGAATTCACTAGGAAGTTTTCAATTTCAGATGTGCTCATTTTTGTATTTTAATTTCCTATTTTATGTATTGTGAAAACAGAATTCCAACTCTTTGGCTTGCATAGCTTTAAACAGTCTTCTTAAAATCTTCCTAAAAACTTAAAGAACTAAAGTTTGTGTCCTTGCTGGAGAGGATAGGAGAAGGAGTGTGTACAGTAATTTACCTTGCAGTCCCAGTTCTCTGGTCATTTACACTTGGGGCATTTTGAAGTATACCACAGCTGTCTTTCTGCCCTTGAAGGGACAACTACATGAAATGGTCATGTGCACGCAGATTTCATTTTGGCATGCAGCCATGAAGCAGTATGTAGGATATCCTTGTGGGTGAGGACAATAATAGCTTTAGGAAGAGTGTGGGAAATGTGTCAGAAGGCAGACTGACATGAAAAAGGCTATTTAGGATTTTAAAATTCCGGGATTGGGCTGTGTAGCAAATTAGAAGCATGTGTGTTTACAGAGAAGTGTGATTATAACTGAACTAGTGGAAACATTGTTAAAACAAAACGTTATCAGGAAGACCAAATTTTAGACACAAGGGAGTAAAAAGAATGCTCTTGGATACTGAAGCAGTGTCCATATATGTATGTAACATGACTTCCTTGCTTACAGTCAGTTTTTTCCTGTTTGGTTATACAATCACTTTCTTAAAATTAAGAATTTTAAAATAATTTAGCTTCTGTTAATTCAATCCTCTCTTTGGAAAGGTATCCAAAACTTCTCTTGATTGGCTGAATGCAGCGTTCCTTTCACTTTGACCTTTTTGGTAGAAACTAGTCTGATATATCCAGCCTGTGACAGAAACTGTATTACCCTACTTTCTGCATTTTATTCAAAGTAATCACACCTATCCTACTTCTGCTTCTATGCTACTTTTTTGCTAAAATCTTGTTTTAATTGATCTTATTTCTATTCCTAAGAATTTGCTGTCAGTTCTGTTATCCTATCCTTGCTTTTAGGTACATAGCCTTTGCTTTTGTAGACTTTACTAACTTTATTGTAAACTGAAATAGAGTAGTCCATAAATGTAGGGTCAAGTGTAATTTACTGATTATCTTGTATAAAATGAAATTTGCTCATCTTCAGTGTGTAACAGCCCCTACCTTCCTCTTTGCTGTTAATAGTTAAAGACTTTTTTCCCCAATTATTTTCTTTTTTCCTTCAACAAGGCCTTCCAGGATTCTCTTATTGGCCTGTTCTTTTGTTGTTGTTGTTGTTTGTTTTTTGGGGTGGGTTTTTTTTTTTGTGTGGATTTTTTTTTATTTATTTTGGTTTTGTGTGTATTTTTTTTCTTTGACAATTAGTCCATTTTCCTATTATTTTCAGTTTTCGACTTCTAATATTTGTCTTAAAATGCAGATTTACTGGGGAAGAGGAAGATTGTTACCTTATAGGTTTTTATTCTTTTACTTGGAATAGGAGTTCCAGGTTGTACTAGCACTTGAACAAATGATTACATTAACACAAATACCCAAGACAGGACAAACATTATAGGCAATGATTTGGTGTAATTGAAGACAAGATAATCTTAGAATTTTATTTTTGTTTTCCCCAGAAAATACAAACATAACTTATTTACTAAAAACATAAAGGTAACTTTTGAGAGGAAGAAAATGGTGCGTGTACCTAATTCTTTTACTATTGTAAAAGAGATGGAAAATAGATGAGTAGATGAGCTGAAAAAAAAAAAAAGTCATTAGGGAGCTTTTCCAACTTGTGATTTCACTTCAAAATTTCCCTGAACAACACAGATACAATTTTATTATTTAAGGTAATAAGAAATTCCCACATGCTACAGTATTACATGATATCCTGAAAACATTTTTTATAAGGATTGCATGCCTCAGTGTAAAATCATCACCTGTCACCTTATGTCCTCTGCAGAAACTGCAGTGTCAGTTTAAAATGCTGTCATTCAGCAGCTGTTTGCTTCATGAAATGGCAGAGGTAACAGAAGAGAGGGTGTGAACAGAGCTGTTCATGCAGTCTGCCTGGTGGCTTTCTGCACATCCGGTGACTCAAGCAGATAATCATTAGTTGATACTGCCTCAGAATTTAATGTCTCTTATGTGAGCAGCTGATCATAGTCTGTCTGCGGCAAACTTATACAGGTGATGAAGAAACAAGATGCAATTCAAAAATACTCTCAGCCTCTATTCCTACAATCAGCTTTACAGTTTACAAAATCTAAAACTCAACATATGAAAATTGTATCAGTCTTTTCATTGATCATATAGTTACTATGTATGCCATTGCATACATGTCATTTAAAAAATATAACAAAAAGCATGGTTTATTATAATTTGAGGTATAGCAATTGATGTTAAAATGACACTTCAGATTTTGCTTTGCTCTTCTTAGGTAGATCATTACCATTAAGCCTCTTTCTTATACTTCTACAGAAAATGTATGTAAAATACTAAGAGCCTGTCTGTGCAAATCTATACATATGTAAGTAGTTTCACGGTCTATGTAAGATACTTATGTGGAGCAAGGGCTTCAAAAGCTGTACTTGATATGATCTGTATATACCAGCACTACTCTTACACTATGTATTCTTTTCATGTGCACAAAGGTTACAACTTAACAATAGCATATTTCATATTCTATTTCTCAAAACAAGTAGAGTGGATATTGTGTCTATAGTGTTCTTGCAAATGTAACTTGCTTTTGATTACTTTTGATTCTTTATGAATTTTCTTCTTCAGGTATTTTCAGATCTTTCAATAGTGAGTGGTGCATCTGTTATTACGGTACAGCCAGGTGACAAAGTTGCTTATACTTTGACTGTGTCTCCATGGAAACGAGGAGTCTTTCAAGGTACAATATAGAACGCAAATATATAAAATATCCCTGTAAATTAGCAGATTAAACCTGCTTATATTTAGTGATTGCATTTCTGTTCAACATGACCTTTCTTCTAGAATAAGGCTATAATTGCTGTTAAAACTAGCTTTTAATATGGTTTTTTTTTTTTTTTTAAAGGTCTATTACTCCTAAATATGTGGTTAGGTCCTTCAAAAATGCTGGCATCTGTGCAAATTTATGCATTAAATTAGTTCCATGAAATTTGATTTAATAACGATTTTGAATTATCACCAGGTTCTTGGCTTTAAATTTATTTTTCCAAACCCTGTTGAATAGCTGTAGTTACCTTAATGCTTCCAGAATCAAAGGTTTAAAGACAGAATTTGATTCTTCCCCTTGACTAAAGTTCAACCCGTTAGCCACAAGGCAAGCTTCACCTAGTACAACAAGAAAACTTCAATGCCTTCTCGCTAGATTTGTATCCCTGAGAAAAAAAATCCCTTTCTACGAATAAGAAGAGTCAGCTTTCAATGAAACTTGTGACCATCAAGAGTCTTCACCAGGAGGTACTGAAGATATACTATAATTTAACTTAACGCCTTTTTTTTTTTCCGACTTTAAAGATTTAGGAATATTCTCCTGGTTTAGAAAATCCCCAGTTCTTTTATATATGCTGAAAGTTTCAGTAGAAGAGGTTCCAAGGGATCTATCATACAGCAAATTAATACCAGGTGGAGATGGCATTTTCAGATTGACATCTCCTATGTTCTGTCATTCACCTAAATTCTATTATAATGGTTTCCATTATGTTTAAAATTACTACATCTTCACTGAGTGAGAAAACGAGAGAACAGTCTCTCTAACCTGACAGAAAAGTTATTGGTTCAAAAGGTGGGAAACGATGTATGCTCTTTTTTTTTCCTTTCCCAGAAAACAGTTCATTTATTTTGTGCTTTAAAATAACTTCATAGAAGTCTGAAGTTATCCTTTGAAAAGAGACAGGGCTCAGTTATCTACCATCCACTTCCTGGCCTAGTGCTTGCTTTAATCACTACCTTAGGAAATTATGTTCCTTCTTCCTCTGCAGTAGGGACAGTTTTGGTTGCATCACAGAGATCTGTGCATATTCTCTAATCATTCAGCTGCTGCACTAGAAAGAGGGGTGGAGGAAAGAAAAGCCACTGTCACAGTCTGAAGGACAGCTGATTTCGCTGTCTGATGTTAACTGATACAAACCTAACTATAAGGTGTCATAGCTAAGGAACTGCTTACTTTGTGGATTCAAGTCTGCTTCATAATGTGCAAGGCTGGGAAGTAATATGTGTACCCCAAAGAATTTTCAGCTTCTGGAAAACTTTAACGTCAAAGCTGAGATACATATGCATTTTTGGCACTTTCAGGATTGTTCAGCAGCCAGCCTGAAGCTTGAGGATCACAGATTAGATGTAGGTGATTCAAATGGGAATTAATTAGAACTCGGAACTCATAGTCCTTTCTAGGTCAAGATACTAGAGATAAGGTATAATTTAAACCCCTGAAAAGAAAGGTACTCTTTATTCAGTTTGGTGAATTTGTTCAGAGGGAAGTAAATGACCCATGGGGACACGATGTTGACTAATTGAAAACAGAAAGCAGTGTTCAAAAGCTGTCCACTGAGTGAATAAATCTTATCCTGTGTGGAAAAAAGAACAACTATTTGGATACCTATTGGACGTCTGTGTCATAGTGCTACTGGATGATTTAAATTTAAAACTCCTTAACTTGTAAGTACAAAACTTTGTAGCCTTGGTGTTTTAGTACTATTTTTGTTATATTAGAATAAACTCATAAAAGTACTTTCACCATATAAATTGCTGTACTGAGTAAATGGTCTCCATTTTTTCTTTACATTCAGAGTTCTTTTTGTTGCAAAATTATATGGCTGCAAAAAAAATTTTTTTTTTTTTTTGCTTTCCTTCTTGCTATTTTATGATTGCTAAGCTGAAAACGGGTCCAGTTCTTTTCAAAAGTCTATTTGGAAGCATTCCAACAGAGGGCTAATATTATATGCTTCAGCTGGTTTGTAGCTTATGACAGCTATAACGTAGAAATAATAGTTAATAAATATCTCACACAAGATTCTGGCACTAGATAAAATTCCTTAGCAATCTATTTTCTAAATAATAGAGCAATTTTCCTTAGGTTTGATAAAGCATCTTGTACTTATTACTTTATCTTTTATCAAACTCACTTCTGCATTCCACACAATAGACCAGAATTTTTCCAGAATAGAAAAAAGCTCTTAATGCTTGAACATTTCCTGTGCAAAAAATACATAATTGTTATAGTCAGTGTTCTTTCATCCATAATTTTTTTCTGAATTTTGGAAATAAGCTTTCTAATTTTATATATCATCTTTCAATTACATTTTTAACTGTTTCTGTATGAAGTAAGCAGCAGGATTTTTTGCTACTTGGAACTTTTCCTTACATTGAGAAAAAAAGGCAGTATATTGCATGCCATGGCCTGTCAGGCTGTAGCTGTGGGCCAGTTTTATTGAGATGGTGAAGATTATGCCAATACATTCTGGCCTGCAGATGATGATTAAACTTGCTTGCTTAACAGTTTTTTCTGTTCAACAGTTGTGTGAAAACTGATTTAAAAAAAAAAAAGCGACACAAAAAATACCAACAAAAAGTTCCATTTCTTTCTTTGGCAGATTTCTGCAAATTCTACTTATTGCTCTAATTTCAATATGATCATAAAATCATATGTGGGAGGAATACGTAGCTTCTTGTAACTATGGCTGTATTTCCAGGACCTGTCCATACCTTTGCTATAAGCATTTTTCAACTGCAACACCATAACAAATCTAATCTAATTCATCTGTAGCGAAGACAAAGCTAGAAGGATCTTCTGGTTGCTTGTTTTTCATGAACGGCTATGGCATACCTCCACTGCTGGGCCACTGGAGTTCACAGAAGGAGGGCTTGTCTATTCATACATGGCATTGCCTGGCAAGATATTCCACAGCATACCCTTTCCATCCAGTGCATCATAGTGCAGTTGCATACTTCTGTATTCTTTCATCTCATGGTTTCATTGTCATATTAAGAACAGACAGTGAGAATTATAAATAAATAAAAAATTCACCTTTTGATTAAATGCTGAGAAAGTTGGGGCTGTTCAGCCTGGAGAAGGCTGCATGAAGACCTCCTAGCAGCCTTCCAGTATCTGAAGGGGGCCTATAGGGATGCTGGGGAGGGACTATACATTAGGGACTGTAGTGATAGGATGAGGGGTAACAAGTTAAAACTTAAACAGGGGAAGTTTAGATTGAATATAAGGAGGAAATTATTTCCTGTAAGGGTGGTGAGGCACTGGAATAGGTTGCCCAGGGAGGTTTTGAATGCTTCATCCCTGGCAGTGTTCAAGGCCAGGTTGGACGAGGCCTTGGGTGATATGGTCTAGTGTGAGGTGTCCCTGCCCATGGCAGGGGAGTTGGAACTTGATGATCTTAAGGTCCTTTCCAACCCTAACTATTCTATGATTCTATGCTACAAACCCATATATGAATAGTAGTTGCTAGCAGGATTTGCCACTTGCTCATTTCTCCTATGTGTAAGTCTTAGCAATTATTCTAATTCCTTTTCATTAAAGCAGGGAATAATTAATTTAAATGCAGTATAGCAACAAAAATTAGGATATGCAGAAACTTTAGAATTTACATTTATCTTCATAGAGGTTTTCCCATTCAAAATAGACATTATAAAGTAAATCTATTTTTTGTAAGTAGAAAAATTGCCAGATGAAAAATAGCTAGCATGAATTGCAGTCATATTTTTAATTTATAGGATCATAGAATTGTAGAAGAGTTAAGAGTTGGAAAGGACCTCAAGATCATCTAGTTCCAACCCTCCTGCCACAGGCACAGACACCTCACACTGAACCATGTCACCCAAAGCGTTGTCCAACCTGGCCTTGAACACCACCAGGGATGGAGCATTCACAGCTTCCCTGGGCATCCTATTCCAGTGCCTCATCACCCTAACAGGAAAGAACTTCTTCCTTATATCCACTCTAAACTTCCCCTGTTTAAGTTTTAACCGATTACCCCTTGTCCTATTAATACAGTCCTTAATGAATAGTCCCCCCCCAGCATCCCTATAGGCCCCCTTCAGATACTGGAAGGCTGCTATGAGGTCTTCATGCCAGGCACAGAGGTGGGACTGACTGGTCTGTAATAGCCTGGGTCATCCATTTTCCCCTTCTTGAAAATGGGGGTTATATTTCCCTTCTTCCAGTCATCGGGAACTTCACCTGCCTCCCTTGATTTTTCAAATATGATGGGCAGTGGATTAGCAACTTCATTTGCCAGCTCCTTCAGGACTTGCAAGTGGATTTCATCAGGTCCCATGGACTTGTGTATGTTCAGGTTCTTAAGATGGTCTTGAAACAGATCCTCTCGTGCAGTGGGCCCAAGGTCTTCATTCTCACAGTCCCTGTGTCTGCCTTCCAAGACTTGGATGGTGTGGTCAGAGCATTTGCCAGGAAAGACTGAGGCAAAGCAAACATTCAGAACCTCAGCCTTCTCCAAATTCTGTATAGCTAGTTCTCCTGATAGCTTCCTGAGGGGGCCCATGTTGTCCCTAGTCTGTCTTTCATTTGCAATGTAACCATAGAATCCTTTCCTGTTACTAGCCAAGTTTAATTTTATCTGGGCCTTGGCTTTCCTAACCTGGTCCCTAGCTTCCTGGACAACATCCCTGTATTCTTCCCAGGCTGCCTGTCCTTGCTTCCACCTTCTATAAGCCTCTTTTTTTTTTCATTCAAATTTACCTCAGCAGCTACTTATCCATCCAAGGAGGTCTCCTGGCCCTCCTGCTGCCTTTCCTTCTAGTTGGGATGCAACGCTCCTGAGCTTGTTGCAGGTGATCCTTGAACATAAACCAACAGTCTTGCACCCTCCTGCCCTCTAGGGCTATATCCCATGGAACCTTACTAAGCAGGTTCCTGAAGAACCTGAACTCAATGGTAGAGCTTTTCTGAGGCAGCAACTATGCATCTTTTTCATTGGTCAGAAAAAAAGAGGTAAACATAGAAACCCTCCTCCTGCTCCCAAGACCTATACTTATTCAGGTCATATTGGTATATTTAAACCACAAGCTCAACATTTCTGTATCTTTTCATATTGTGTGATGAATTCCATGGCTGCATAGCTTTCTGTTCTTGTTCTCAGTTAAAATATTGTGATATTTTGGGCTTTTATCATCTCTCTGCACCAGAAAATAATCAGGTACAAACCAGATCTTTGAAACAATCCATTAAAATTATACAGAAAAGAAAAAGTTGACTATTTCTTGCCTTTTTTTTAACTGGGTTTGGGGTTGAGGTATTGTACTGTATAGCCAATGAGTCAGTCTAACATGTGGTGTTGCATTTAAAATTTTATTGGGAAATAGAACAGCTTGCCTTCTTTTAAAGGGTTGCATCTTCTCTGAAACAATATAAAACAAGGCTTCAGTATTAATATGTGGACTGAAGTTGTATAAAATGTTTAAAGAGTGGACAGTAAATCTTCAGAGTTTGGTTTTTGACCAAGAAACATTTAAAGCAATGTTGTATCAGCAAAAAGAAAACCTGCACAGTTATGTAATTTTTATTTTTTTCAATATCATTCTAGGAATACTTGCATTGTTGCTTTGACAAGTTTAATGTTTTATATATTTTATATATATGCCAAAGGACAGCTGAGGAGTGGTGTTTTCTGACGTACTTAATGGTGGCATAATAGTGTGGCCAATTGAATCAGTGGGAATTATATCTTTGTGATGTTGTCAGCCATGATAATTTGACAAGTTATGTTGTATAACATATGACACACAAAAGCAACTAGATGTAAGAAAAAGATCCCCGAACATTGGGGACTGCTGTGCATGAACAAATTATAATTTATCAGTTGGTTTTCAATATCAATAAGGTAACATAAATTGCTGCTGGCATTACTGACAACAGTGTAAGCAACAGTGGATTCTACAGGATGGCAGTGCGTACACAGCAGAAAACCTAAAATTTCCTGTGTCAAAGCCTTTTCACAACATAGGAGCCAGTTCAGCAGAACCTTATGAAAAAAATGTAAACATGCTTATTTGTTATTTTAAATCTGTCATTTGATATAGTGGTGTTGCACCTGTCCAATTTATTTTTAATTGTCTCATATGGTGCTAGGGACTCTTTGTTACTCTTCATTGTATAAAACTCTTTTTCCCATCATGCTAAGCACCTTTTTATTGGAATTTTTTGTAGTCCATAATTTGAATAAATATACTTATGTGTCATCAGCTATCTTAATCTCCAGTAGCGGTCATTGGATTGCACCATTCACTCCTGAACCATGGGATCAGTCTACTTAGGAATACTTCCTACATTAATAATATTAATACACTTTTTTTGTTGTTGTTGTTATTTATGAAAGACAAGTTATGAATATTTTAAGACTGCGCAGATAAACTTAGTTTAAAAATGTATGCCATCTGTAGTAATCTCATTTTTTATTGAAGCATGACAGATTTAATTGGGTGCCTTGTGGAGATCTGAATACATTACATCAATCCACTTACCTTTATTGATCAAGATTTTAGCCTCGTTTTTATCAATTCTGTTTGTTTGAGATATGTTTTCCACAAAGTAGGAAAATTGAGTGTCAGCAATTGTAGGTCAATTCTTCACTGATTTCTTGATGGTGCTATTGTTGGATTATCAGCAAAGTGGTTTAGCAATTCAAGTAGTATTTTAGTTACCATATTTCTTCCACTAGCTCTTGAAATATTCTTGAGGATTAATAATTTACAGATTTGGAACTTTTTAAGCATTCCAAGATTTGCTGCACATAGAAATTCATTATTCAGAGTTCTTCAGCCAATTACTTTGGTGCTTTTGAGAGCATGTTTTGTGCAGAGCCAAAAAAGTTTTGTTTTACCATCCTTCTACTGACTGATGAAATAAAAATTTTAAAACTGTGAACACTTATGTCCTGTTCCTTTCTCTCACATGCATATATACACAGCGCAGTATTTTGAAATTGTCACTGGAAGCAAGAACTATAAGGAAAAATTACTTACATTTAAAAAGAAGCATAGCAAAATTTTTCATATAATTGTTGGCATCTTTCAAGTATATTGGTAGTTAGGGTAGTTTTAAAATTAATGAAGTCTTTCTCTTGCACTTTGCTTCTCTCTAATATTGTGCTGCAATAGACCAAGATTATAGGATTATATATTGAGACATAAAATCAGATTAATTAATAATCCTAAAATCCACTAGCCATCAAGCATGTCCTCTTACATTAATATTTATATACCTTGAACATTTTCCTCAGACTTTATTCCCATGAGCTGTAATAATACCATAACAGTTATATTTTTTTATTGTAGTTGCACAACGCTTTTGGAGAAAAAAATGGTTAATTTCCTTGGACTCAAGATGTATTTTTTTATTGCCATAAATCATATTTGCATGGCTAACACCTGGAGTGCAAGTTTTATTTCATTTTTTATTAGTTTTGAAGTGAGGAAATACTCATACTTGTCTGGCAGTGTGTTTTATGAAGCTAATGCCCTGCCTAATATAACACCTGCTATCTATTTGTTTTAGGTGTAATTTCATTTATTGCTGAAGTTGAAGACCAACAGCAGTCTCGACATAACAGCTCACCAGAGAAGACAGATGGGGAACAGGCCCTTCAGAAATTGTCAGCAGAGACACCACAAACTGTTGATGCAGCAAACATGGGTATGTTTGTTAGTATGGTTAAGTAAGTTCATTGTCTGTATAAATTCATATCATAATCTCTTTTTAAACTTAATGTGTCTTTAGTATGCCAGGTCACATGCCTGCAAACAGTATTAAGTCAAATGCTTCTTTCAGGCATATGTGAAACTTCTCCTTTTATGATTTCTGAAGATTTTTAATGAAATTTTAAGCTCAGTTTTTTTTTTAATTTATTTTTTTTTTTACAGTCACATCACTGAATTTCACTTCTTGTTGGAGAGGGGCAGCATTTATGAAATGCTTTCTTTTAAAAGTATCCAATAATATTAATAGTGCTGATGTCAAAGCAGGCTGTTTCTGACATTCATATTGCTTCACTTCATTGCACTGTAGAAAAAACTGTCTTTTAACTGTCAGTCATAGATAGTCCTTTGGTCAATTACAGTTATATCTAGGAGAAAATTCCAGAATACCCACTTAGATTCAGATTTTCACCTCCTAGTTTCTGCATAATTTTTGAGTTTTTAAGTGTTCCTGCGGAATATTTTTGTAATTACAAATGTGCACCACAAAGGTAAGGATTTTGTTTGGGTTTATTTGTTGGGGTTTTTTTACATTAATTTAGCCTTCTTTTTTTTTTTTTTTTTCTGTACATTTGCAAGTAAAGTTTTGACTATGGATTTAACTGTGCTTTTTATGCTTTTAATACCTAATTTGGAATGTATTTAAATTATCTATCATTATTATGTTACATGGCTAAAGCATATTTCTTGCATGAAAAGCTATCAAGGAAAGTTATTTTTAACCTGAAAAAGAAGTTGTTTTAATCAATATTTAGTTTTTAGGAAATGGAGAAGAGCTTGCAACTCGAGATCTTTTCGTTTTCTTTGTAACTATATTTTCGTTTTAACAGAATTTATCTAGTTTTAAAAGGAATTTTAAGGGTTTTAACAAAGATTAAATTAAGGTGATAGATGCAGGCAAAGGAGTAGATATAAGAGTTATCAGATTTCAAGATGTTAGGAGGAATTAATATAAAAAAAATCTAGGGTGATGCCAAGTACTCAGACATATCTCTACTGAATCTTCAATCTCTACTGAAAAACTGAATCATAGAATCATAGAATAGTTAGGGTTGGAAAGGACCTTAAGATCATAAAGTTCCAAGCCTCCAGCCATGGGCAGGGACACCTTGCACTAAACCATGTCAACCTGGCCTTGAACACTGCCAGAGATGAAGTATTCACAACCACCCTGGGCAACCCATTCCGGTGCCTCCCCACCCTAACAGGAAAGAACTTTTTCCTTATACCCAATCTAAACTTTCTCTGTTTAATTTTTAACCCATTACCCCTTGTCCTATCACTATAGTCCCTAATGAAGAGTCCATCACCAGCATCCTTATAGGCCCCCTTCAGATACTGGAAGGCTGCTATTAGGTCTTCATGCAGCCTTCTCTTCTCCAGGCTGAACAGCCCCAACTTGAATTGAAGACATTGTTCTTAGATAGAAAATCCAAGTTCACTGTTTGTTATTATTATTGATAAGCTTTTAGCTTAGTTTGATTCCCCGTTAACAATGTGAGACTGACAGATCTACTTATACATTTGGAATGTGTTTTTCAAATATGTTGCTGGGTGATTAGGAGCAGCAAGCTTCCATCTTACCTTTAAAACAACCAATGGTTTCTGGTCATTTCACAAAATACTGTTGTCTGTCATAGCCATTCATTTGTACTAAACAGCTATAACTTTTACAGCTGAGGAAAGTATCTGCTGAAAATACCTAAATAGAAGTGAAATGTAACAAGGTGTGATATAATTTGTATAATAGTACTAGTCTATTCGGAGCTTACTTTAAAGGGGAACTAACAGTTTTTATCCTACACAGTTTTCTTTTACATCTATAATGTTACTGTAGTTTTTAATAAAAGATAATTATTCTGTGGCTTTTCAGAGTAGAATGGCTGATGGATATTTCTGTGTTTTTTCTTAATTGCAAGGTTCACACCACTAGTAGAATGCAAACCAGTTGCATTAAACCAAAGATCACACACTGAAGATATCCCCAAGGATACCTTTTACCAACCTGGGCTAACAGAAAATAGTAAATTTCTGATGTAGTGGAAATTAATATACAAACTTTATTTGGTAGCAGCCAAAACAAGTGTGAGGTTGTCCATAGCTGAATAAAGTTAGAAAAATATTTCTAATGATAAACATATGTCCACCAAACATTTTTGTCTTGCTGTCACTCAGTGAAAATTATTCCTTTTAAACATACTAGAAGCAATTACCTTGTTATACACACCTTAACATTCAATATCATCTTAAGATTGATGGCTTGGCTTCGCAAGTGAAGATTTGGGAAGGGCTTTACCCACACTTACTACAAGAACAATGACCAAGGGCATGTGGGATAGGCAAATCTGGTTGGAAAAAAGGCTGCTTAGGCAATCAGGAAGTTTCTGACCAGGACTGTCATCTCCTGGGGCAATCTCAAGTGACCAGTGTCCTGATCTGCCCACATGCAAGGTTGGATCTGCAGCTTCCAGTGCACCTTGGCACCTGCCGTTTTGACCCTTGCCTATCGCTACAGACAAGTGGGAGGAAATCCTTCCAGCCTGCACAGTGGATTTTTTAGGTGAGTCTTGTTCAGGATGCATTGGTAAAGCCCTTCCTGAATCTTCGTTAGCGAAGACAAGCCATCCTCATAGGAGAAGGAAAACTCCTAACAGGCAGATGGAGCTCATCTAGCCTTGTAAGGTCTTCCATCTAAGAGAAGGACACTCTTACAAAACCTACAACCTGAGGACTTTGCTGTCACCGTCCTAGCTAGCTAAGCCATGGCAGATAAACCCCAGGTGTAAAGAGTGAGGCCAGTTCTTCTTAAGGTACACACATTTAATATACATCTTAATTATACATGTATTCAACTTTTTATTTTTTTCCTCCAAATGACATTGTAGGTATTAGTGTAAAAGATGATAATTTCTAGAATAGTTTTCATATATTATTTTAGTAACTCCTACCAAAATCACTTATTATGCTCTTCCAAAATGCATAATTTGTTTATGATCTCTTTCTCCTTCAGATATAGGTAAGAAAAAACATGTTTAGTCCTTTCAGTGAAAACCACTGATACAGCAATCCTTATGACAAATCCTGTTTATGCTGCCTCATACTAGGGACAGAAAAAGAAAACAAACCAAAACTACATCTGCAGTGCAGATGTAGTGACAGGGGCTTGCCCCTTTTTAAACTGACGTGGGTTTTTAGGTCTTTCCAAAGCATGTTTCTGTCTTTTGTGAGAAGAGGTCCTAGGTTTTTTTTCTCAAGGTAGCCAGAAGTGAAACAAGACTAAGTGGTTTCTAAGACTAAAAGTAGGACGCAGCTGATCTTCCATGTAAGATTTATTTTTAGATATTTCTATATGCAAAGTGCTAGAATCATAAATTGATATTAGTCATTAATAGATACTTGCTTCATAGTCTGCTGAACTGTCAAAATTCCCTTTCAAAGTAGAGGAAATTTTTCCACTCTACTATGGAGCCTGTGGTAACTTCTTAAACTGAACTATCCTTGCACAATTGCCCCTGTTTTGCACTCTTTGCTGTACAGCATGTGTGCAATAAGGATGTTTGGCTCGGCTTCTGCTAGACCAGCTCAGCCCTCCTCAGGTATCTGTTCCAACATCTCCCCTGTAAAGAGGAGTCAAGAGTGAGTAGCTGGTGCAGTTGCTGCAGTGGCTGAGATTTGCACTGCAACCGCAAATCCCCCTCTCTTCTTCCAGAATCCCTTTCTCCACCAGCAAGCCTTAACACAGAGCTGGCATTTAAGCAAGAGCTTTTAATGTTCCTGCCAGTGGTGGTGTCTCACAGAGCTGAGCACTACAGATGCAGAATATTTGTTTGTAGAACACAGGGGAATTTTGCACATGCTACTGTCTTATTCTTGCTGCCCTGAGCATTGCCTTTATCAAAAGATTATACTTCCCATTGTGTTTGTCTTACGGTATGCATTTACATTTTTATACCATTGCCAAGTTTTTTGATTTCTTTGTACTTGAAAAGAGTAACATCAAAAAGAGACACTACTTGTGAATAAGCCATAATAAAAAAGCACAGTCCCAAGGGTTAGGCAAGACACTTATTCTGGCAAAGCCTGTTTTAATTGTCTTTTTAAAGCTAATTTGTGATTCAACCAGGCCTTCAATGACTGGTGGCATTTCCTAGTCTACGCTGTCTCTGTAGTTCTCATAGTATGTTTCTGGCAGTTAAGTGTCTTTCTTGTGTTCTTTAGAGAAACCTGTTTTGAAGTGCGTTCATTGAGGAACTGACACCTTTGAAAAGTAATGATTCTTGCATATGTGGTCCTTCCAGACGTTCAGACCCGAAATCTATCCCTGAAAGCTGAACATTTTGGTAACACACTGGGGTATTCACATATGGAGGATATTGAAATAATTTCTTTGTGATAGTAACTGTTAAAGGTGATTAAGAGGAAAACAGTACTCAGGATGGAAACACTTTAAAATAAGACTTTGTATTTATTCATGATAACTTTTTTAAAAGATTGTAAGAACTGAGTATACAATGGTAAATATTAGGATTTATTAAGTATTAATGCACTAACATGATTAATATACTTTTAACATATTAAAGGTATAATTGATATATCTGCCATGCATATTTATTTCTGGAATTACTATTTAACAGGAATATCCTTAAAAGTTATCTACCTCATAAATTTTGATTGTGTCATTAAGCTATTTTTCACTCTAATCTGGACACTGTATATTCAAACATACTGTACTCCACCATCAGATTAGTTTGTTCTAATTGAGTCCCTCTCTTCAGAAAAAAAAAGATACAGAAAAAATATCCAAAGAAAATTATCTCTATGTAAACAGCATGCATATTTGAAAATGTAAAATACCAAAGAAGGCTTGCTTTTTTACATACCATTTTAGCATTTGCAGCTATGCTTATGCTGGTGCATACAAGCTTTTGGGGACAGTTT